CAACATGAAACTCATGATTTATTGAAGAACGCGACTGATTTTTGGCTCACGTCAACCCATCCGGCCCCACACATGTCAGCTTCATTATGGTTTTCAGTGGGATTGTGAGTCAGAGCAATGCCCCAAGGGCCATATCATAATAGTCATTATTTTTCTTCTGTGGGTCACTTCAGTTTAGCAAATTTAATCAAACTGACCCTTTGTTTTGCTGGTAGAAAACAACAATTCGACAGCCAGCTCTTTGCATGTCACCCGTTAAAACGCTTTCGTTTGCTTATGTCTTCTTGCAATAGCCACCCAATGAGAAAATATATCAACGTTATTGAATAATTGGAAGTGTAGCTTCACAACAATCCTACATAAGAGATTCCTGCTCCGTGCATGGGCCGATTTCTAACTCATGGAAACTTACACATGGTTTGATGCTACTCTGGTTTACAGATTTAATGAATGTAACCGAAGAAGTTACAATTCATAGACCCAACGTTTCGACACTCATGTCTAGTGCCTTCATCAGGGGTGATCTAAACGCTGCAACAAGAGGTCTTTTCATATGATCACTAATTAGCGGCCTTTTTTCTGACGAGGTGTAAATAGGCGTCAGGAAGCAAACCGCCATCGTTAAGTTAATCATCGCGGAGTTAATATGCCAAGCCTCCAAACAAAGGCGCTGGTGGTAACGCCGATTAGTGGTGATAATTTTTAGAAATATTCCACCCAATTGTATGGTTAGTTAGGCATGTGTGCTCCGATAAAGCTGAATTTTCCTTTTTGCGAAAGAAAACCGCTTTTTGATGCTCTTTCAAACGTGTACCAAACTGACGTTTGGTCTGTCCGATGTATTCGTTGTCACAGTCATTGCAAGGAATAGAATAAATGGCGTCGGTTCGTTGTTCTTTCGTGACAGGATCCTTAGGTTTGGTGAAAATATGCCTCAAAGTCTGAAAAGGTTTTTGAGCAACTTTAACGTTCTGGCTATTCAAAATTCTCTTGATGGGTTCCGTAACCCCCTGAATGTAAGGAATAACAGCAAAACCAGTCGCTGGTTCCCTTTCATCAAGAGCGTTACTAGTTGTAACTGGTTTTGGGCAGTTACGGAGAGAGGTTTTTGTATAGCCATTTGCCTTTAGGACATTAGAAACATATTTCCCCTCCTCAGCCTTCGAATCGAGTGAAGATGGTAGACCTCCTAATTAAAGTTTTGGCTACACATCTTTTAAGGCAAATAGGTAGGTTAGAATCGAAAGCGAGGTATTTGTCGGTGTGGGTAGGTTTACGGTAGACACTTGTCTCTAAATTACCCTGAACCCCTCTGGACACATTTAAATCGAGAAAGGGCAAATGTCTATCCTTTTCACGCTCAAGGGTGAATTGGATCGACGGCTCTACTGAATTCAAATGCGACAGGAGGCGCTCCGCTTCGCTTCCGGAAACCGCAGAAATAACATAATCGACATATCGTTTCCAGAAAAAGGGTTTAACCGGTGAAGTGGCTAAGGCCCTTTGCTCCACGTCTTCCATTACCATGTTAGCAATGACAGCAGAGAAGGGCGAACCCATAGCTGTAACAAAAACTTGTTGATTGTTGATCTGAGGGCAGACGACGCACTTTAGCAAAATTAGCTCCGAAAGTCATCAGGGTTTTTTAATTTTGAGAAACTGCTTTGATGACGAAAACTGGAACTCGACTTATTGACATTTGAAAGGACCAAAAATACCATGAGAGTGACGTTCATCAACAGATGGACTAAAACAATTAAGGAGGCCCGACCCGCTAATCTAACCACGACTAGTAAATGAGACAAAATGGCCGTTTTTATGCTAGAGACGTTAAAGTTGTCTAAGACGTTAAAGTCGTCTCGAGTCGTCTCGAGACGACTTTAACGTCTTAGACAACTTTAACGTCTCTAGCATAAAAACGGCCAATATATTCATACTTTTAATATGTGGAAACTCGAACTGGAAAAAATATTCATTTTTTTTAAGCCGTAATCTCTTATCACATAGTTATGTAAATAATTCCATGATTTCAAATTTAAAGCGTCGTGACAAGCCAACCATCCTTCACGAGAATAGATAAAATGTAAATTCCGCTTTACCTATTTAAGATATGACAAATCATTCCCGCACTATTTACGGAAGATGAAAGCTCTCCAAAGAGGCAGGGAGGTGTTGACTGACTCGATTTTTCGTGTGTATTTTTAACAGACACAGGGGAAAGTATGAACACCATACTCAACACAATTGTACAATTTTCTCAATAACAGCAGAAATTATTTTCACTTTTTGGTCACTCGGCAAAGGAAGATAGAAGAATAAAGTATTGATCATCGAAATTTTTCTTCATGAAAACAGAACCAAACGTATAGAACAAATCTTTAACTTAGTGAAGCATTTCGCTGATACAATCTATTTTTAAACTCACCTTCCGAAAGAACCAAATAAATTGCAATCGTGAATAGGAAAAAAATGCTGATCAGTTGTTCCACCATAAGGAAAAATATCACTCCAAGTATCAACAATTAAACTATTTTACACAGTTCTTCAGTGGTTTGAATTCTTTCTTGGCAAAATCGGAGCAGAACAGTTTGTCTCTCCAATTTACGTCCCTTTGAACTTACTGGGGATATGCCGTGATGAAAACAGCTCTTTATGATTAAGGCAACTTGGTTTAGAAATGTCAAGTTTGTCGTGTTTTATCATTGATCGATGTTCGCCTTCCTGACGGGAGTTCAAAATTAGGTTTCCGCAATTGAATAGCAGCTCAGGGCATTGTTATCACAAATATCACAAAATAGAGAGAAAATTATACGAAAGCCATTGAATAACATTGAATAAAATGATGAATGAAATAATAGTCGAACCTGCATTTAGTGAAGTGGTATCAATAAAAGCCATTTTAGCAGTAGACATTCCACGAGGTGGCTCTTCTTTCCACTGTTTCCATTGGAATTAAGAATGTTTGTTCTTGTGGAGGGAGGAAAACCGGAGGACCCAGAGAAAAGCTCTCGGAGCAACGAGAAGAACCAACAACAAACTTAACCCACATGTCTAATATCACTTTATAATTATTTTTTTGGGTCACAAAATAAAACTCATGATTTATTGAAGAACGCAACTCATCTCTACCCAAAGTCAACCTATCCGGCCCAACACATGTCAGTTTTATTATGGTTTTCAATGGGATTGTGAGTCAGAATAATGCCCCAAGGGCCATATCATAAAGTCATAATTTTTTCTTCAGTGGCTCACTTTAGTTTAGCGAATTTAATCAAACTGACCCTTTGTTTTGCTCATGACTTGTGAAATAGCCATCCACTGAGAAAATATATCAACGTTATTGAATAATTGAAAGTGTAGCTTCAAAACAATCCTACATGAGAGACTCCTGCTCCATGTATGAGCCGATTTCAAACTCTTGGCAATTTTTTGAGTTTAACAATAAATTGGAATTGAAATAGTACGTGTCCTCAAAGCAGGTGTAATATATTCTCTGTAAATTAGGGTCAAATTGACTTAGAAGGGTTACAGACATCTTCAAATTATTCTTAGGCATTTTTTTGATAAGCATTCGCTATAGAAAGGACAAGTCAAAGAGGGTGCCGAGTGAAGAAAGATGAAATTTATTTCACACACTTTACAGAATTCTACCCTAACTGAACTGTCACTTTGGGTCAACTTAAAATTGACAAAAGTAACTGTTTAATGTAAGTACAATACCTGCTGAAAGAATAATATTTCTCGTGAAGATAAATTACTCCTTTTATTATGCAAAGCTTTGATCAAGTCCTCTAAATATGCCAAATAGAAAACGTTTACAATATAAAAAATCAAATACCGTCGGAGGAGTTTCCTGTTGCCCTACCTATAGTTTTATTTATCTTTAGTCAAGTCGAAACCGTGAGGCATCGATCGCCATCCATCACGCACTCGCACGCACTTATTTCTACTTTTCACGCACTAGAATGCAGTTTGCGTGAGGTTCATTCCATTGAACGTTCTGGGCTTAGAATAAAGAAATGGGAAGAGAAGAGAGAAAATACAGCTCTGATTCAAATTATCAAGTGTAAACCGTTCTATCCAGCTTTTTTGTTTTGTTTTCAGGAATGAGTTAGGGCCTTGAAATTTTAACCAGCAGCAGTTAAAAGTCTAAGACGGCCGTTTAAGATAGTCAACAATAAGTTAGGATTTTATATCCACAAATTAAATGTCATCTAGCTCACTGTAAAAAAACAACTATAAAAAACTTCAGTCCTTGAAATGTTTGACTGCAACGGGGAAATACGATATGTTATGTAAGATGGCACGGCTTTCCATAACCGGAATGAAACAGTTCTATAAAATGCTATTAAATAAACAATTTATCTTCCCCACCCGTTATAAGAGACTCCAATCCATCTGTAAGCCGATTTCACACTTCGTATGACCATTCCCGTTGAGTAAAACAGGAATTTATGTGACAAATAGCTCGAGGCCTCGAAGCAGCTGTGATACTTTCTCTGCAATTATTCGTCAAATTTGAATTAATGTATCACAAATGAATCCAACCTTGTTTAAAAAGGCATTCATTAAGAACAACTGTCGGATCTCTAGCGACAGGGAAAGTCAAAGACACTGCAAAGTTAAGAAAGGTGCACTTAATTACACGCATTACAAAACTTATACCTTTAAGAACAACCACCTGGTGTAAAAATCAAAATTACGTCGTCTTTCGTCATTTACTAATTGGAGTAGTCGCTAACTGAAAAAACTAAAGTATATATAATATTTGCTGAGAAAATAACATTTCTCATAAATTTTACTCGTATAATTCTGCAAAGTCTTGATCAGGCCTCCTTAATATTCTAAATGAAAATTCTTTAAAATGGACGAACTCTTTTAAAGTTAAGTTTCATTCTTGAAGTGTTCGTGATATCCGAATTGGTTCAACGGCAAGTTAAACAAACGACTAAAGATCAAGGTGCAATGATATACAGTATTCTTAAAAACAAGACTTGTGTTTCAGCCTCTAACTTTTTCCACAGTACCGGCTGGCACAAAATTGGACCGGTTTCAGTCTGTATACAAAAAAAGAGCTACAATTCCGTACGTTGATCATAATGTGGCGGTAACAACAGTTATAAAAGCCATGAAAACAAACTTTTCTGGAAACGACTCCTTCATCAACTGTTGGGTGTGCTCCGTCCATCCACCCCGGCAAGTCCGTTCCACATCTATGGTGCGGTAGACAGTGAGTAGGTATACTCGTTCCAGCCCCCGCTGAGAATCTGTACCAGTCTTCTGTCAAATGGTTGTCACATTTTCTGTCACCGCGACCAAAATCGCTATGTCGATCGGAGTCATTCAGAATCTTGTGCTGATTGCATTCTGAGGGAACTAAAAATGAAAATGTATTGGAATACTCAAGCATGTGGCTTCATAAAAGGCGAAATGTTCTGATATCTCATAAAATATAGTGGAAGCTCTAGCTTTTAGCTGAGGCAGCTAAAAATGAAAATGCATTGGATATATTTTATTTTTATAAAAGATGGTGGAGGCGAGGACATTGGCAAAGAAAACTTTTTTTTTCGGAGGGGGGGTGGAGGGAATTTCCTCATATTTACAGTCGCTCAAAACCTTGTATTGATGACGTTCTGAGATACTTGGACATTAAAGGTCCTTCGAAACATTCATGCATCTAATGATATAAGGAGTGTAAAAATTTAAACAACTGCCTCGGGGAATAATTGTGCCAGAGGACGACAACAGTAAAGACAACAATATATCTGTTATTCCATTACTGCAT